CAGTCAGCTCACAGCAGTCAGCTCACAGCAGTCAGCACACTGCAGTGCAGTCACTGTCTCTTATACACATCTAGATGTGTATAAGAGACAGGGCGTAAGTGGCGCGATCACGCCACGGCATATGTGGCGCGATCACGCCACGGCATGAGTGACGCGATCACGCCACGGCGTAAGTGGTGCGATCACGCCACGGCGTAAGAGGCGCGATCACGCCACGGCGTAAGTGGCGCGATCACGCCACGGCGTATGAGGCGCGATCACGCCACGGCGTAAGTGGCGCGATCACGCCATGGCGTAAGTGGCGCGATCACGCCACGGCGTACGAGGCGCGACCACGCCACGGCGTAAGTGACGCGATCACGCCACGGCGTAAGTGGCGCGATCACGCCACGGCGTAATAAGTGGACTGATCACGCCACGGCGTAGGTGCAGTAATTATGGAATAATGTTTTCCATTTTTCCATAATTTCCATTGATTTTATAGTTTTAGCAGTTGTCATATGTTTCATGAGCTTCTTCCAGTTTTACTTATTTCAAGAGTTTTTTTTACTTATTTCATGTTTCATTACATTCAGTTTCACAAGCTTCATTTAATAGCAAAATGTTTATGATTTTCATCCAGTTTCATGATATTGTGGAAGTTATAAATGTGTCATGTGTTTTCCGGGCACCATGTCAACACTGTTTTCGAAAATACTGATTATGGCAACACGGCAAGTGGCAATGGCAACACGGCAAGTGGCAACACGGCAAGTGGCAACACGGCAAGTGGCAACACGACAAGTGGCAACACGGCAAGTGGCAACACGGCAAGTGGCAACACGGCAAGTGGCAACACGACAAGTGGCAACACGGCAAGTGGCAACACGGCAAATGGCAACACGGCAAGTGGCAACACGGCAAGTGGCAACACGGCAAGTGGCAACACGGCAAGTGGCAACACGGCAAATGGCAACACGGCAAGTGGCAACACGGCAAATGGCAACACGGCAAATGGCAACACGGCAAGTGGCAACACGGCAAATGGCAACACGGCAAGTGGCAACACGGCAAGTGGCAACACGGCAAGTGGCAACACGGCAAGTGGCAACACGGCAANATTGAAGCGCGTATAACATTGATGTGTGCAATATTGAAGCGCGTATAACATTGATGTGTGCAATATTGAAGCGCGTATAACATTGATGTGTGCAATATTGAAGCGCGTATAACATTGATGTGTGCAATATTGAAGCGCGTATAACATTGATGTGTGCAATATTGAAGCGCGTATAACATTGATGTGTGCAATATTGAAGCGCGTATAACATTGATGTGTGCAATATTGAAGCGCGTATAATATTGATGTGTGCAATATTGAAGCGCGTATAACATTGATGTGTGCAATATTGAAGCGCGTATAACATTGATGTGTGCAATATTGAAGCGCGTATAACATTGATGTGTGCAATATTGAAGCGCGTATAGTATTGATGTGTGCAATATTGAAGCGCGTATAGTATTGATGTGTGCAATATTGAAGCGTGTATAATATTGATGTGTGCAATATTGAAGCGTGTATAATATTGACGTGTGCAATATTGAAGCGCGTATAGTATTGACGTGTGCAATATTGAAGCGCGTATAGTATTGATGTGTGCAATATTGAAGCGCGTATAGTACTAATGTGTGTGATATCGTAGCGCGTATAATATTGACGTGTGCAATATTGATGCATAAAAAATATTCATGTATTTAATATTAACGCGCACGTATGGTTGTTGCCACCCACTCAAAAGACACTCTCACCCACATCATATTCTGAGTGCACCATTCCTTTCCATCACTTTTAATACTGAACCCCAATCCCAGTCCCCCTTTAACCCCACCAATCACCCCCGACCCCCTCACTAAAGACGTGCAATAATTGGGCCCAGACAAAGGCCAGTGAGGAGGCTTTGTTGTGAGCGCCAACCATTGTTGTGAGGAGGTTTTGTTGTGAGGACCAACCATTGTTGTGAGGGCGTCAGGCGCGGCGCCCATTGGTCGAGCCCGGCATTGTCTTCCTCGCAGACACGCGCGCCCATTGGCTGGGCGCTGCAGACAATCATCCTATATATATATATATACGTATATACGCGCACACGGAGCTATATATACACGTACACGGAGCTATATATATTTAAATAAGGTGAGTGTTAGGTATATATGTATGGGCAGAGGGAGCTATATACATAAAGTGAGTGGGAGGTATATATGTACGCGCAAAGGGAGCTATATAAGTTCGCGTAGAGAGAGCTATATACATACATGTGAGTGGGAGGTATATATGTTCGCGCAGAGGGAGCTATATACATAAGGAGAGTGTGAGTAATAAATATGTATGGGCAAAAGGAGCTATATATACGTATGTATCGGCAAAGGGAGCTGTATATTCATAAGTTGAGTGGGAGGTATACATGCGATGAGAAAGCAGCAGTTACATACAGCATGGGTGATATTCATCGTTGAAGTATTCTCAAAATTGTCATTAATAAATTTTTCCAAGTAGTATGACTTCTGAACTTTCAGAATATATCTTTGTAATATTCGTCCTGAAATTCAAATTTAACAATTGCTAAAATTGAAAGTCTAGAAATTGTTGCACGCGTAATCGTTAGTTACGACAATTGTTAAATAAACTTTTTACCATTGATTTAAACCATTTTTACCATTATATCAAATGGAGATAATATACTATTTATCTATACTAATTCATTAATAATTGCATTATTAATTACTAATTACATTACTAACAACTAATTACATTACTAATAACAAATTACATTACTAATTACTAATAAAATTACAAATTATACTAATTGAGATAATTTATATTAATTCATAACCATATCATACCCGTTATTCTCAAACTTCAAGTTTCATCTCTCCAGCATTTTTACTTGTAACGACGAATTTCATTCACTCGCTTTATAATGCGTTATACGTGAAAGGGGTTCTGAATGGGGCCTATTTAAAAGTTGTGAGTGTGATTTGTATATACGGAGAATCGGGGGCTATAATCTTAATATATTCGGTGAGTGGTGATTATATACATGGTACACTCAGGAAAATGGACGAGTCATTTTTGCCATATATCGACTTATTTCGTGCCCGTAGCACTGATACGACCTTTCTCAGGGCCAAACTGGGTCTAGTTGACTCACATACTGATAAAATGCTTCACTATTTTAACAAATTCTCATTCATTTTTCTTAGTGTATTAAGTATCTATATATATGCGTTCAGGCATCACGCATACACGCGCAAGTGTATATATATATACAGTGAAATTGAGTTATATAAATCGAATGTAAGAGTGTTATACGTTATATGGGTGTTATGCGTAATTAATGGTCGAATGTAGGAGTGCTATACGTTATATGGGTGGTATGCGTAATTAATGGATTAAACATTAGGTTCGCGGGAGATATATATGAGGTAAATGAGGGAAAAGAGTGTCAAAGTTTGATTTTAAGAGATTGATTTAGGAGGAACCGATGGAAAATGAAAATTTTAAAAGGAAATGACATTAAAAAAGGCATAGTTTGATAGAAAGATGGTAGAAGTCCGAAAGAAATAAGGAATTATAGAAGAGTAAAAAGTGTTGAAAAGAATGCCAGAGTGCAAGCGCAATGTTACATGAATGTTAGGCAATCAAGATAAACTTTTCAATTAAATGTGAAGAATATATATTCGGGATGTATTGTAGTAGAGGCTGTGAGAAAGAAGGTAAGAGAGGGATTGATGGCGATGGGGAAGGGGGGTTGGAGTGAAAGGGGGATACGATTGAAATGAAAGGAGGTAAGGGTTGGAGTGAGAGGGCCGGGGTGATGGTTGAAATGAAAGGGGGGAGGGTTGGAGTGAGAGGGAGTGAGGTTGAAATGCAACGGTGTGAGGGTTGATCTAAGAGCGGGGAAAGGGAGGAGTGAGAGGAGAAAGAGGGGGTGCAATTGCCCTGGTGTTTGATAGTATTCATGTATGCACCCCATTCGATCACACAGCTTGCGTCACAAACACATGCAGCACAAACAGTGGCTAGCACAAACAACAGGAAGACAATTCTAATTTACTCAAACACAAACCCAGAACGAATTACAACTGAAGCCAAGCATAAACAGCAGTCAAGCACAAACACCAGCCAAGCACAAACAGCAGCCAAACACAAACACCAGCTAAGCACAAACACCAGCCAAGCACAAACAGCAGCCAAGCACAAACATCAGCCAAGCACAAACACCAGCCAAGCACAAACAGCAGCCAAGCACAAACACCAGCCAAGCACAAACACCAGCCAAGCACAAACAGCAGCCAAGCACAAACACCAGCCAAGCACAAACATCAGCCAAGCACAAACTGCAACAATCGCAACCGCGGAGACAAGCCAATTTACTGCAGCCTTTGATGGTGTCTCGGGGGACTGGTGCGCTGGTGGTGCGCTGGTGGTGCGCTGGTGGTGCGCTGGTGGTGCACCGGTGGTGCGCTGGTGGTGCGCTGGTGGTGCGCTGGTGGTGCGCTGGTGGCGCGCAGGTGATGCGCTGGTGGCGCGCTGGTGATGCGCTGGTGGCGCGCAGGTGATGCGCTGGTGGTGCGCTGGTGGCGCGCAGGTGATGCGCTGGTGGCGCGCTGGTGGTGCGCTGGTGGTGCGCTGGTGGTGCGCTGGTGGTGCGCTGGTGGTGCGCTGGTGGTGCGCTGGTAGTGCGCTGGTGATGCGCTGGTGGTGCGCTTCCATTCATCACATTTGCATCAAATCAACTTCACTTGATGCAAACAAATCATCAATCCGAAGCAAAAATCGGAACCTCCTTTAAAAAGAAAAAAAAGAATTTCTTTGAAGAAAAGATGGAGGCATGCAAGACCTACACCCCCTCCCCCCTCCCTAAGTACATATATCGGAGGAGGGGAAAGGGAAGTCGGGGTTGGGGGTTCGTATATCGTGTTGGAGGGGTATATTTTCCACCCACCCTCTCCTCACCCCTCCCTCCCTCCGTATCATCCCATATGTAGACGTCTCGAAGGTGGGAAGGGGGTGGGGGGAGGGAGTGAGGACAATATAAAGTGGAGGGTATAGGAGGGGTTCCTATATCGTTAAGGGGGAGCCCTTTCTCCACCCTTTCCACCATCCCCTCTCCCCATCTTTCCTATACTTTAATACAAATCTTGGGGAGGTAGAAAAGAGAAGGTGAAGTTGGGGGTTTGGGGGGGTTCGAATAGCGTTCTGGTTGTGATATAATATTTTTTATTTATTTTCCTTTCAGAGGCGAAGATCAAAGCGGTTATAGGCGCGTGGCGGAGAAGGCGGCCATTATGTCCTCGGCAGCCAATAAGAAAATAATTAGACTTTAAATTACCTCGCCTTGAAAGAAGGATTCAAGACATTCAAGGCACAAACAAACTGAGAGTTTAATTGCAAACTGTTTGCCTATTGGAACATATTGAAATGACAGCTCATTCACTGAAGAGTGAATGCCGTTACTGGTGAATGGTGAATGATTGGTGATGAAGATGAATTGGATGTTCAAATGTAATCAAGTAGCAGCGTGAAGCAGTGCTGCATAATGCGTCGTGCTGCAGCGTGCAGCAGTGCAGCATAATGCGTGGTGCTGCAGCGTGCAGCAGTGCAGCATAATGCGTCGTGCTGCAGCATGCAGCAGTGCAGCATAATGCGTCGTGCTGCAGCGTGCAGCAGTGCAGCATAATGCGTGGTGCTGCAGCGTGCAGCAGTGCTGCATAATGCGTGATGCTGCAGCGTGCAGCAGTGCTGCATAATGCG